CCTCTGCCTCCTGGGTTCGAGAATTCTGTCTCAGCCTCCCGATAGCTGGGACTACGGGCGGCATCCGGGTTCCCACTAAATTACAGTGTTTAGAAATGCAGGCTTAGGTGGTAAATAGCAAATTTTTTTGGTTGCTGTTCTGTTTAAGACAGGGTCTCACTCTGTCACCCAGGTTGGAGTGCAGTGGCGCAATCTCGGCTTACTACAACCTCTGCCTCCCAAACTCAAGCGATCTTCCCACCCCAGTCTTCTGAGTAGCTGGAACCACAGGCGCACACCACCACACTTGGCTAAGTTTTTGTTTTTGTTTTTTTTTCTTTTTTTGGTAGAGATGGGGTTTCACCCTGTTGTTCAAACCAGTCTCAATCTCGTGAGCTCAGGCAATCCATCCACCTCGGCCTCTCAAAGTGCTGGGATTCCAGGTGTGAGCCACTGCACCCAGAGCAGTAAGATTTTTAAAAACAAGGAAGTGATCAGTCTGCACAAAAGCCAGGAGGGTAGTCATCACCGGCAGGAGGGACACAAAGGTTCTAGAGCAATGTTCTTTCTTGAACAGGGTGATGGATACATAGGAATTCCTCAGTGTTGCATCGTTGGGCTGTACATGTTTGTTTTCTGCACTTTTCCAGATGTGTTTGCATGTGTCTGTTTTTATGTTAGATTTCACAATGCAAATGGTTAAATTAAGTGATTTTAAAAGATTTAAAAGGTATGTAGGCCAAGGTGGTAAAAACTGCATTGTCTTTTATAATACAAAAGATTAAAAAATGACATTTTGTATTGACAAGTATGAAGAAAAGTTCTCTGAGATCTTGCCAAATAAGTCAAACATGGGTGTCTCCACTGAGAACAGTAGAGTGTAACAGACCCCAAAGAGAAGATGAAGTGGAAGAAAAATCAGAAGCTGTTTTGACAATGAGGGTGTTACCGTCATTAAGTCTCTTTCACGGATAAAAGGGCAATGTAGAATCAGCACATTACTTCCACAAAAGAAGATACTGATATAGTCACAAATTTTTATTTTTCCCTATGGAAAAATATTAATAGGAAAGAAAAAATCTCTATTTTCACTATCTCTCATATGTTAATGTCTTGAAGATTCTAAACAGAAACTTACGAAATCAAAAAACAAAAGATGTTACTATTTTAAAAACATAAAAGATGTTACTATTTTGAAGACAAAAGTGTTACTATTTTGAAATCAGATAGTAAGATTTTTACTTATAATCCCTGTACTTTCATATTCTTTCAATGGTGTTTTCTCTAAACATTATTAACACATGATCATCTGTTTCATGTCAGTAACCTTATTTTAGCTCTGCTTTTACTTTTATTGTTACCCTAAGTCAACAATACTGAGATCATCATTCCCTCTAATAAAGTGCTTACTATATACCAGAAATTTGCTAAAATTTTAATATGCTTATTTTATTTACTCTTTGTCATTGCCCCATGATGTAACTAGTATTATTATCTTCTTTTTATTCATGAAGGACTGAAGTTTTGAGAGATTAGATAATTCAGCAAAGGGCTCAGAGTTAACAAGGCAAGGATCTGAATTCAGGTGGCAGACTCAAGTCCACATGCTTCAGTCACCCACTGAAGCACTATCCTTGGGTAACACAGACACCTATGATGACATTCAGACCTCATAGGCTCCTGTAAGTTGTCAGGGATACCTGGAAATATTCTTTGTTACTGGTCCAAAATGGTTGATGAAGTTGCCACCATGCAATTGCTCAAGCAGGGATGCCTGCGGTCTACTACAGAGTATATCTGTATTAATCTGTTCTCATTTTTAAGTTTTTCCAAAACACCACTAAGAGAATGAGACCATGTATATTCCTTTTATTCTTTTTCTTTTTTTTTTTTTGAGACAGGGTCTCACTCTCTCCCCCAGACTGGAGTGCAGGGGTGCGATCTCGGCTCATCGCCCCAGGCTCAAGCGATTGTTCTGCCTCAGCCTCCCTGAGTAGCTGGGATTACAGGTGCACGCCACCACACCCAGCTAATTTTTGTATTTTTAGTAGAAACGGGGTTTCACCATGTTGGCCAGGCTGGTATATTCCTTTTCATAGATGAGGTCACTGGGGTAGAAGGAAGTCATTTGCCAGTTTTGCAGTAATTCACAAACTCTTCCAAGAAACTATCTCAGGTTTCACTATTCTCAAACAACTTAATCTCTAGACCCATTAATATTATTTTATATAAGGCTGGGCGCTGTGGCTCATGCTTGTAATCCCAGCACTTTGGGAGGCTGAGGCAGGCAGATCACGAGGTCAGGAGTTCAAGACCCGCCTGGCCAATACACTGAAACCCCGTCTCTACTAAAAATACAAAAAAATTAGCGGAGTGTAGTGGTGGGCACCTGTAATCCCAGCTACTCGGGAGGCTGAGGCAGGAGAATCGCTTGAACCCGGGAGGCATAGGTTTCAGTGAGCTGAGATCACGCCACTGCACTCCAGCCGGGGCAACAGAGCAAGACTACATCTCAAAAAAAAAAAAGTATTTTATTTGCTGTTAACATTGTTTTATTTCATTAAAATAGAAACTGACTGGCCGGGCGCGGTGGCTCAAGCCTGTAATCCCAGCACTTTGGGAGGCCGAGACAGGCGGATCACGAGGTCAGGAGATCGAGACCATCCTGGCTAACACGGTGAAACCCCGTCTCTACTAAAAATACAAAAAACTAGCCGGGCGAGGTGGCGGGCGCCTGTAGTCCCAGCTACTCGGGAGGCTGAGGCAGGAGAATGGCGTAAACCCGGGAGGCGGAGCTTGCAATGAGCTGAGATCCGGCCACTGCACTCCAGCCCGGGCTACAGAGCAAGACTCTGTCTCAAAAAAAAAAAAAAAAAAAAAAAAAAAGAAACTGACTTTGGGAACTCAGTCATCACAGAAAAGTGCCACCCTTACAGAAACAATGCCCAATATGAAATCTAATTGATGTGCTTGAATAAATGTAGCTTGTAATCATTTACAAAACTATAAAAAACATATTAATCGCCAGGCGCTGTGGCTCACACCTGTAATCCCAGCACTTTGCGAGGCCGAGGGGGGCAGATAATGAGGTCAGGAGTTCGAGACCAGCCTGGCCAACATAGTGAAACCCTGTCTCTACTAAAATACAAAAAATAGCCAGGCATGTTGGCACGTACCTGTAATCACTGCTACTTGGCAGGCTGAGGCAGGAGAACTGCTTGAAGCCAGGAGGCGGAAGTTGCAGGGAGCAGAGGTCACACCACTGCACTCCAGCCTGGGCAACAGAGCGAGACCCCATCTCAAAAAAATACATTAAAAAAATTAATCTAAAATATTGTATGAGAAAAATCATTAAAGCTACTGTCGTTAGAGAAACAACATAGTGTTCTGTTCATCTCACCATAATACACAGGAAGTACCCCAAAGTTCAATTAATATAAGTAGATTTGAACACAAACAGCATAAAGTGAGGTACTAACATGTTACCAATTTCGTAGTTACTGGTAAATCTGAGGTAGAGATTACTCATTTATTTATGCAGAAAATGAACAGAATGAAAACAAAGTTATGACAACAAATATGCCACTCAAAAATGTGCAGAATCTAATGACAAACACATTGAATATTTGCTTTTTTTTTTTTACTTTAAGTTCTGGGATACATGTGCTGAACATGCAGGTTTGTTACATAGGTATACATGTGCCATGGTGGTTTGCTACACTGAATATTTGCTTTTTTAAGCTCTGTGCTATGCAACTGTAATGTAATAACTGTTAACATTTATTGGCCGGGCGCGGTGGCTCAAGCCTGTAATCCCAGCACTTTGGGAGGTCGAGACGGGCGGATCACGAGGTCAGGAGATCGAGACCATCCTGGTTAATACGGTGAAACCCCGTCTCTACTAAAAAATACAAAAAACTAGCCAGGCGACGTGGCGGGTGCCTGTAGTCCCAGCTACTCAGGAGGCTGAGGCAGGAGAATGGCGTAAACCCGGGAGGCAGCGCTTGCAGTGAGCCGAGATCCGGCCACTGCACTCCAGCCTGGGCGACAGAGCAAGACTCCATCTCAAAAAAAAAAAAAAAAAAAAAAATTTATTGAGTGCCACACTATGCTGTGCTTCACATAGATCACCTGAAGTAACCCTCTGATAGACCTTGTAATAACGCTGTTGTAGAATAAAGAATTTAGTGGGCCTCTCTCCCTCATTCCTGGGAGGAAGCTTCTAAATTATTGGACTTCCTCAACTAGTAGGAGTGTCTTGTTATTCATGATGTGCCCTGAGAGTATGTGCTACTCAGGTGACTTGGGGTGAACCCCTAGATAGTCTGTGCTAACAAGATGACTCAGAGTTGGGACTGGCCACCCCAGAAAGACCAACCATGCGATTAAAGTATTGGGCCTTTGGGCCTCCTGATGTCAGTCTGACATCCAGGGAGGGGAAGAGGGATGAAGATTGAGCTCAATCACAGGACCAGTGATTTAATCAATCATGTCTACATGGACATCAAAGCTTGTGTGAGCTTCCTTAGTTGACAATAACTGCAGGTAGTTAGTGTCAGAAGTCATTGCAACCTGTAATAGATAGGTAATATGATCTTCATCCTGTAACGAGGAAATTTAGGCACAGAAACAGGTCAAGTGACTTGCTCAAGATTAGACAGAAGAGAGCCAGGATTTGAATCTAAGCCCACCTGACTCCAATCCTATGTCCTTTTTTTTTTGAGACGGAGTCTCGCTCTGTCACCCAAGCTGGAGTACAGCGGCCGGATCTCAGCTCACTGCAAGCTCCGCCTCCTGGGTTTACGCCATTCTCCTGCTTCAGCCTCCCGAGTAGCTGGGACTACAGGTGCCCGCCACCTCGCCCAGCTAGTTTTTTGTATTTTTTAGTAGAGACAGGGTTTCACCGTGTTAGCCAGGATGGTCTCGATCTGCTGACCTCGTGATCCGCCCGTCTCGGCCTCCCAAAGTGCTGGGATTACAGGCTTGAGCCACTGCGCCCGGCCCAATCCTATGTCCTTAAATAATGGGCTAGCTCTTTGCCTCAGTGACTAGGCAAATATGAATTTTCATTAGGAAAGTATATATACACATAAACATTTTATGGAATATCCCCAAATAATAATGCCAGTTTTTTAATCCCACTGATTGGATCACTAATAAGTAACATCATGGGACTCCATTTTGTTAAGTAATAATAGAATTTTCCACATATCATTTAGAATTACTCCACACCACATAGCTCCCCTCACATCGTATACTAAACACCAGACAAAAATTGGGGGAAAACAGACATTAAAAACAGAAAGAGGAATACCAATAAACACTATTATAGAACAATGCTAGAACTTCAGCATTTTCAAAATTTATAAACTTGAACAATGCTAACTCACTTCTTCAGCGGACATGTGAAATCGTAATGCATTTGGCAAGATGCTACCATATTCCCATCTGAGCGCTCTGATCCGAAGCAAGCGATCATACCTAGGACATCAAGAAGGTATTGAGTGGCATAAGAATAAAAGAGGGATCATGTGTGGACTTCATCTGGCCCCTGATGCAAACATACCACCTCTAAAAAGACATCTTAGGGACAACAAGAGGAACATGAGCACAGTCTGAGAGTCGGCCTGAAGGCACTGTCCACTCCTCCACGTGTGATAGCAGCACAGTAGTCCTGGGAAAAAGGTCCCTGAGGTCCTTATTTCTTTCTTCCCCACCCCCTCTTTTTTTTTTTTTGAGATAGAGTTTTGCTCTTGTCACCCAGGCTGGAGTGTAACGGCACGATCTCCTCTCACTACAACCTCTGGCTCCTGGATTCAAGCGGTTCTCCTGCCTCAGCCTCCCAAGTAGCTGGGATGAGGCACCTGCCACTATACCTGGCTAATTTTTGTACTTTCAGTAGAGACGGGGTTTCACCATGTTGGCCAGGCTGGTCTCGAACTCCTGACCCCAGGTGATCCACCCGCTTCGGCCTCCCAAAAGTGCTGGGATTACAGGCATGAGCCACTGTGCCTGGCCAAAGGTCCTTATTTCTAAGACAAAGAAGAAAAATAGTAAGATCACTACCATATTCAGTAGTGAAAGACCATGATGCTCTTAAATAGTGTGGCACCAACAAGCGAAACACGATGAAGAAAAAATGGCAAAATAATAAAAATTGTTAAAACCCTATGATAGCTCCACTGGGGTTCATAATAGTATTATTCTCCCTACTTTTAAAAGTGTTTTTTCATAATAAAAAATTTTAAAAATGAAAAAACAGAGGAAAAATTTAGAATGCTTATAAAGAGAGAGAAATCTAAGATTTCATGTTACCCATTTGAGATGGTCAACTGGGAAGCCACACAGAAAATCCTGCCACCCAAGCAAAAACTGAGAAGCTTACAGGTATGCTACAGTGCAGCGTCGATTTCTTAACAGAGAACAGTGTCGAAATTTGATAGTTGGTATCAAATCACTTCGTCCACCTGACTTCGCTTCATTCCTGATAGGAGCATTTAAAAAGAAAAAAAAATATGTACTTTTCAGGCTAAGTAAAATTTTCAAAGCCAACAACTGAGTCACATGTTTGTTTTTAATCCATTTGTGATTAGCAGTTAACCTAAGCAAATAATAACTATTTGTACACCAGAGCTTTTACTAATACGTTAAACAGTCAAAACCTAAACAACTTGCCTAAGATCATGCTATCAGATACATTTTGTTTAGGCATTTGGTACTTTGCATTTTTGCACACTGATTAATCTCTATTCTTTCTAAAAGACACTGTGTTTGTTCACTTTTCGGGATTCCATTATCATGCTGAAATAAGAGACAAACCTAACACGATGGACATGAGGTTATGGACTTACATCATGTTGTTATTCTACACAGTACCTCCCTTCCAGTGGAGCTTCCAAATCCTCATTATAATAAAGTGAGCTAAAATGGAGTCAAAATGGTCTTTCACTCCTCTAACAAATATCTGTTGATCTCCAAATACGTGTACGTACTATACTTCAGTATTTTTCACACTGAAAATTTTGGTTTTACCCTATAAAAAGTACATATAACTTTTGAATGAATAAGAATTTACGTTGGAGTTTTTAAGCAACCAGATGAATATAAAAAGAATTCATTCATGTAGTACCTGCCTCTATGCCAGGCACTGTGCTAGGCCTTGATAATACAGGCAAAATACATGTCCCCCCAGCACTTTGGGAGGCCGAGACGGGTGGATCACGAGGTCAGATCGAGACCATCCTGGCTAATACGGTGAAACCCCGTCTCTACTAAAAAATACAAAAAACTAGCCGGGCGAGGTGGCGGGCACCTGTAGTCCCAGCTACTCAGGAGGCTGAGGCAGGCGAATGGCGTGAACCCGGGAGGCAGAGCTTGCAGTGAGCTGAGATCGGGCCACTGCACTCCAGCCTGGGCGACAGAGCAAGACTCCGTCTCAGAAAAAAAAAAAAAAAATACATGTCCTATCTTGTCATGTCTTCTAGGGCTGTTCTATATACTTCTGCTACCCTATGAAAGTCTGATGAAACTAGGACGGTGGAAGACAGTATTTCGGATCATGAATTTGCAAATGGCATAAACACAGAGAATACAAGAAAATCATTCCCTTACGGAACCAAGGCCTATAGGGTCTCCTCCAAAACATCTATAACCTTCTCATTTTCTACCAAGTCCAGGTCACCTCTCTAGTAACCTGGTGACCAGGTTCCCCCTCCTCTCAGCCCCTCCACACAGCAACCAGGATAATCTTTTAAGACACAAACACGCCACCACCTGTCCACACTTACACCTCATCTGGTGTCACCCTTTGCCACTTGCCAAACTCCAGCCACATAGGTCTTCTTTGTCAGTTTCTAGAGTGCTCCATTCTCTTCCATGATTCAGGGGCTTTTGCATATGCTGTTCTCTCCACCTAGAATGTTCTATGCCCACAGTTACTGCCTCCCTAAGGCCTGCCTCTCCCGCAAGCCTCAGCTGAAATGTCTCCTCCTTGGAGAGAAGTTCCCTGATCCCTCAATTTAAGCTAGACCTTCTATTCATTTTTCTTTCTCCTTGTACTTTTCTGATTTCCTTCATTGCATGAATCCCAGTTTGGCATATCTATATTTCATATCTATCTGTCTTCTGTACTAGACAGTGAGGGCCAGGGACAGGCATCTTTTTTTTTTTTTTTTTTCTGAGATGGAGTTTCGCTACTGTTGCCCAAGCTGGAGTGCAATGGCGCGATCTCAGCTCACCACAACCTCTGCCTCCCGGGTTCAAGAGATTCTCCTGCCTCAGCCTCCCGAGTAGCTGGGATTACAGGCATGCACTACTATGCACAGCTAATTTTGCATTTTTCGTAGAGACAAAGTTTCACCATGTTGGTCAGGCTGGTCTCAAGCTCCTGACCTCAGGTGATCCACCTGCCCCCGGACAGCCATCTTGACTGTTGTTTACCACTGAAATAGTAGAGCCACTTATTGATACATATTTGTTTAGTACATATTCATGAGTAAATCAATGAATGGCTTAGAGACCTGAGTTCAGGACTTTACATCTGCCTTATATTTACTGCAGATCTATTGAGGTTCACTTCCTAAGTCCACCTGTAAAGATTTTTCTGTATCTCTCCTTAAACACAGGAGTTGGAAACGCTCCTATCATTTTATGTGCCCTACAAATCTTACCACCCATAACACTGATTTTTATATTCAAGTAACAGATAAAAACACTGTAGCGAACAAGTCCAAAGAGGAAACCTCATGTCACAGGCAGACTTCTAAGTTGAGACCTTAAATACTTCAACTTTGATCCAGTACTTGACTCCCTTTGGTGTCACACAGGAACATATGAAGTTTGTCATACAGCCCAAATTCTCCACTGTGCCAGCTACCATGCTCAGTTCTAAAGAGTCAATAAATCTAGTCACCTCTCTGGACCTACTACACTGAAGGCTTTTATAGCTAGTTCTCAGAGAACTCCACTCAAACTATCAGAAATCATTGCTGCTCCTATTTATATCCATTTATAAACTGCCTATTCTTCCTTTAACAAACTCACTAAGGCAGCTGTTGATAAAAATAAAAACAGTGGAAACCATGTATTTCACTTTGTTAGGTTTTAATTTTTATTTATTATTTTTAAAGATGGAGATCTCATTCTGTCACCCAGGCTAGGGTGCCGTAACGTGATCATAGCTCACTGCAGCCTCAAAGCACTCAAGCACCCCTGTACTCAAGTAAGCCTCCCACCCACCTTACCCTTCTGAGTTGTTGAGACTCCAGGTGTGTGTCACCACACCCAGCTAATTTTTATTTCTTTAAATAGAGACAGAGTCCTGCTATATGTCCAGGCTGGTCTCCAACTCCTGGCCTCAACTGATCCTTTTGCCTTGGCCTCCCAAAGCATTGGGACTTACCTCCCAAAGCATTGGGACTTATAGCCATGAGCCACCGTGTCCGGCCTATTTTTACTTTTTATTTTAGGTATGTCATTTATTTTAGGTCGACTCTAATTCCTTTCAACTCCTATCAGAGAAACAATAGATATTTATTAAGCAGTGATCAGCACAAATTCCTTCAGACTTCTGCTAATTTGTACAGCTAGAGCAGATAATTTTACAGATAATTTTTAAAAATCACATCCAAAAACTAATGCAAGGTTATCTGATTTCAACATCTTTTTTTTTTTTTCTTTTTTTTGGAGACACAGTCTTGCCCTATTGCCAGGCTGGAGTGAAGTGATGCAATCTTGGCTCACTGCAACCTCCGCCTCCGGGGTTCAAACAATTCTCCTGCCTCAGCCTCCTGAGTAGCTGGGATTACAGGCACCCAATACCATGCCAGGTTAATTTTTGTATTTTTAGTAGAGACTAGGTTTCACCATGTTGGCCAGGCTGATCTCAAACTCCTGACTTCGTAATCCACCCGCCTTAGCCTCCCAAAGTGCTGGGATTACAGGCGTGAGCCACCGCACCCAGCCAATTTCAACATCTTAATTATTAAATTGTTTTAGAATATCAATCTTATGAAACTTACACATCAGACTGGTTTTGTTCATACAAAGCTTTCATCTCCTCCAGAACTTGTCTGAGTCCATCCTCCTAGAACATATAAACCAATACTGAAATCCACGGATTTCCTCACCAATTCTGTGGCAATATTCTATCAATACTGAACTGTGTATTTTATTTATATACTTTAGCAAAAAGCAATAGTCCTTTCACACCCCACTAGCATGGTTATAACAAGTGTTGGTGAGATGCGGAGAAACTGGAGATGCCGAGAAACTGGAATCCTCGTACATTGCTGATGGTCATGGAAAATGCTATAGCCCTGTGGGCAAAAACTTGACGGTTCCTCAAAAGCTACACACAGAATTACCATATGACCCAGTAATTTTACTCCTAAGTTTATATATACTCAAGAAAACAGAAAACACATGTTTTTTGTAGCATTATTCCTAACAGTCAAAATGCAGAAACAACCCAAATGTCCATCAACTGATAGATGGATAAACCTTCCACTTATCTGAAATATCTAATATAATAAAAAGGCTGGGTGCGGTGGCTGACGCCTGTAATCCCAGCACTTTGGGAGGCCAAGGCGGAGGGATCATGAGGTCAAGAGACCACCCTGGCTAACACAGTGAAACGCTGTCTCTACTAAAAAATACAAAAAATTAGCTGGGCGTGGTGGCGGGCATCTGTAGTTCCAGCTACTTGGGAGGCTGAGGCAGGAGAATGGTGTGAACTCGGGAACCGGAGCTTGCAGTGAGCCAAGATTGTGCCACTGCACTCCAGCCTGGATGACAGAGCAAGACTCCATCTCAAATAATAATAATAATAATAATAATAATAATATAAAAAGAATGGGCCAGGGGCGGTGGCTCGTATCTGTAATCCCAGCACTTTGGGAGGCTGAGGCAGGTGGATCACCTGAGGTCAGAAGTTCAAAACTAGCCTGGTCAACATGGTGAAACTCCGTCTCTATTAAATATACAAAAATTAGCCAGGCGTGGTGGCAGGCGCCTGTAATCCCAGCTACTCGGGAGGCTGAGACACAAGAATCGCTTGAACCCAGGAGGCAGAGGTTGCAATGAGCCAAGATCATGCCATTGCACTCCAGCCTGGGCAACAAGAGCGAAACTTCATCTCAAAAAAAAGAAAAAAAAAAGAATGAACTACTGACAATGTACACAACGAGGATAAACTGAAATACATTATAATGAGCAAGAGAAGCCTCACATAAGAGTATATATGAAATGATTCCATCTGGCTCTTTACAGGAAAAGTTTGCCAAAAAGAATAATGCCATCTATAGTCAGAGAAAGCAAATTAAGGGTTGCCTAAGGCTATAGGTGGGAGGTAGCTACAAAAGGGGGTCAAAGTTACAGAAATCTTTAATTTTTTTATTTTTGTAGGTACACAGTAGGTATATATATTTATGGGGTACATGAGATATTTTGATAATTACAGAAATCTTGATCAGGGTGCTGGTTATAAAGATGTACATATTAGTCAAAATTCAAAAATCTATTAAAATACACATTTTGTTGTATGTAAATTATATGTCAATAAAACTGAGGAACAAAGATATCAATCGTCCTACTGAAGCATGAGGTATAAAGAAAAATAATGCAAATAATTCGTAATTTACTAAAAAATGGTCTTTTTTTTTTTTTGAGACATAATCTCACACTGTTGCCTGGGCTGGAGTGCAATGGTACAATCTCGGCTCACTGCAACCTCTGCCTCCTGGGTTCAAGAGATTCTCCTGTCTCAGCCTCCCGAGTAGTTGGGATTACAGGCACCCACAACCACGCCTGGCTAATTTTTTGTATTTTTAGTAGAGACAGGGTTTCACTATATTGGTCAGGCTGGTCTCGAACTCCTGACCTCAGGTAATCCACCCGCCTCAGTCTCCCAAAGTGCTGGGATTACAGGGATGAGCCACCGGGCCCAGCTTAAAAAGTGATCTTAAAAGGTTTATACCAAAAAAAGAAAAAGGAATAGTGGTTTTGGTTTGCACTGCAAAACACTGGCCATAGGAGTTTTTCTAATATCCAGTTTGGGGCAAATTTTCCCTTGGAAAAATAAAACATTAGAATTCTGATTTTTCTTCTTGTTGTTGTTGTTGAGATGGAGTCTCACTCTGTGGCCCAGGCTGGAGTGCAGTGGTGTGATCTCAGCTCACTGCAACCTCTGCCTTCCAGGTTTAAGTGATACTCCTGCCTCAGCCTCCCGAGTAGCTGGGACTACAGGTGTGCATTACCAATGCCCGGCTAATTTTTTTTTTTTTTTGAGACAGAGTTTTGTTCTTGTCACCCAGGCTGGAGTACAATGGTGCAATCTTGGCTCACTGCAACCTCCATCTCCCAGGTTCAAGCGATGATTCTCCTGCCTTAGCCTCTCAAGTAGCTGGGATTATAGGCGCCCACCACCACGTCCAGCTAATTTTTGTATTTTCAGTAAAGAAAGGGTTTCACCATGTTCACCAGGCTGGTCTTGAACTCCTGACCTCAGGCAATCCACCCACCTCAGCTTCCCAAAGTGCTGGAATTACAAGTGTAAGCCGGCCAGGCGCGGTGGCTCAAGCCTGTAATCCCAGCACTTTGGGAGGCCCAGACGGGCGGATCACGAGGTCAGGAGATCGAGACCATCCTGGCTAACACGGTGAAACCCCGTCTCTACTAAAAAATACAAAAAACTAGCCGGGCGAGGTGGCGGGCGCCTGTAGTCCCAGCTACTCGGGAGACTGAGGCAGGAGAATGGCGTGAACCCGGGAGGCAGAGTTTGCAGTGAGCTGAGATCCGGCCACTGCACTCCAGCACTCAAGTCTAGGCGACAAAGCGAGACTCTGTCTCAACAAAAAAAAAAAAAAAAAAAAAAAACACAAGTGTAAGCCACCATGCCTGGCTAAATTTTGTAATTTTTTTTTTTTTTGGTAGAGACAGGGTTTCGAGGCCGGGCGCGGTGGCTCAAGCCTGTAATCCCAGCACTTTGGGAGGCCGAGATGGGCGGATCACGAGGTCAGGAGATCGAGACCATCCTGGCTAACACAGTGAAACCCCGTCTCTACTAAAATACAAAAAAAATTAGCCAGGCGACGTGGTGGGCGCCTGTACTCCCAGCTACTCGGGAGGCTGAGGCAGGAGAATGGCGTGAACCCGGGAGGCGGGGCTTGCAGTGAGCTGAGATCCCGCCACTGCACTCCAGAGACTCCGTCTCAAAAAAAAAAAAAAAGAGAGACAGGGTTTCGCTATGTTGGCCACGCTGCTCTCAAACTCCTGACCTCAAGTGATCCGCCTGCCATGGTCTCCCAAAGCGCTGGGATTACAGGTGGGAGTCACCGTGTCCAGCCTGAAATGATTAAATGTTGCCCAATAGGTCTGCCAACAATCTAAAGAGAAGCAATCCCATCTCTTTTTCGCAATCTATTTTTAGAGCCAAAATATACACGTTGGCAAAAATGCTGTGGTATATACAAATGGCACAATTCCAAAATCAACTACTCAGCTCTGCTCAAAAGATGTAATTCCTGGCGAAAAATGCAAGCATGACTTCTACCTGAGCCCAAGGTAATTTTCTTACCTTTTCCTTTTTGAGACAGGGATTAAGCCTGTCACCCAGGCTGGAGTGTAATAGCGTGACCACAGCTGACTGCAGTTTCAACTTCCTGGAGTCATACAATCCTCTCATCTCAGCCTCCTAAGTTGCTGGGACTACAGATCTGTGCCACCATATCGGATAATTCTATTTTTTGTGAAGATGGGGTCTCACCATGTTGCCCCAGGCTAATCTCGAACTCCTGGGCTCAAGCGTTCCTTCCACCTTGGCCTCCCAAAGTGCTGGCTGGGATTACAGTCGTGAGCCACCATGCTTGGTCTAATTTTACTAAAAATGCACTTTTTAAAAAAAGCATCAATTCTGCATATTGAAAGGGAGTAATCACTTTTCTATTTGCTGAACACAGCACTTAACCATGAGTGATTCCAGAAGAAAAGCCTGTGTGTTGAGCCAGGTGCAGTGGCTCACACCTGCAATCCCAGAACTCTAGGAGGCTGAGGTGGGTGGATCACCTGAGGTCAGGAGTTCAAGACCAGCCTGACTAACACAGTGAAACCCTGTCTCTACTAAAAATACATAAAATTATCTGGGTGTGGTGGCGGGCGCCTGTAATCCCAGCTACTAGGGAGGCTGAGGCAGGAGAATTGCTTAACCCAGAAGGCAGAGGTTGCAGTGAGCCACATTCCAGCCTGGGCCACATGAGCGAAACTCCATCTCAAAACAGTAAAAAAAAGAAAAGCCTGTGTGGTCCTAGGGCCTCTCAGATCCACCGTCAGCCTTCCTCTGTGCCACTGAGTCGGAAGCCAGCCTCCGCAGGCTAACTGAGTGTTCCAGGCTGCTGAATCACCTTGAGATCATCAGGTGGGTTTGTCAGTGGAAGGCACTAGTGAGACAAAAGGTGCTCTACCAAATTAAGACCTACAAGAGTGATTCTACAACTTTTTTTTTTTTTTTTTGAGGTGGAGTCTCACTCTGTTGCCCAGGCTGGAGTGCTGTGACCTGATCTCAGCTCACTGCAACCTCCGCCTCCCAGGTTCAAGCGATTCTCCTGCCTCAGCCTTCCAAGTAGCTGGGACTACAAGCACGTCCCGCCACGCCCGGCTAATTTTTTATATTTTTAGTAGATACGGGGTTTCACCGTGTTAGCCGGGATGGTCTCAATCTCCAGACCTTGTGATCCACCCGCCTCACCCTCCCAAAGTGGGGAGATTACAGGCGTGAGCCACCGCGCCTGGCCTTATTCTACAACTTCTAAGACCAGCCCCTAGCCCCACAAAGTGATAACCCAACATTTATCTTAAAATTTGAGTAAAACAGAGCTAAACTAAGTGGCAGAGTCAGGTACAAAATCCAGCTTGGCCGCACCTGCTGCTGGCACAGTCTCTCTGTTCTCTAGGCCCGTGTCCTGATATGTACGATGGCCTCTAAAGTTCTTAGTTCTCCAGCCACATTTTAGCACTTACACGCTCCTGCATTCCAGCATCTCTACTGAGCTGCAGACTGCTGCCTTCTAACTTTTTAAATGAGGTAACTGTTCTGAAGTTGAAAAAACAATTGACTGGAAACTGGAAAACCTGTGTTCAAGTTGAAGCTCTACCTCCAATATGCTGTAAATTCAGACGAATTCCTTAACTTGACCCATAATTTGTGTTGGCTCAGTTTCTTCATTTGTAAGACAATCTAATTGTCCAGCTAGGTGCTCTTTAGTGTTCAAAACAAAACTCATTACCTTTCCCAACACACTCTATCTCCTGAACTCTGATGTCGTTTACCCAGTTTCCTGAGGATCCTCCAAGATCCCGATTCCTCCCTCTCATTCATTATGGGCTCCCTCTCTGCCCCTGCTCTAATAGTTACAAGTCGTGTTTGCTTCATGCC